CTCCCTCTCTCTCATTTATATTTTTATTTCTATCATTATTTATATCCATTCAGAAATTATGATATATGTCCGGTTTTATTTTCCCAATAATAATAATAATTAAGGATATTTGTTACAATTTTAAATATATTTAATTTTTCTACATTTATTTTCTAGAAAAAATATTTATGGTATTCTTTTATTAAAACAATAATTCGCTCCAGTAGACACATGCTCATCTATATTTTTTTTCTGCATTGTTTATATAAATATTTACAAAAGAAATAATGAAATTATAAAAGTTTCATATAAATGTGTAATTCCTTCACATTTTTAACTACACAGATTTAGCCAATTTGCCACACATAATATATAACCCATTATATTAAAAAGGTAATTCGTCCTTACAAATATCTTTGTAAAATAGGAAACATGATGTTATAAGTTTATACGCTTTTAAATTTGTAAATGTCTGAAAAACATAGGATTCCAACTAAAATTGCTATAATGGTATTCATGTTAGAATTCAACTTATCTTAATGATTTTTGTGGTTTATATGTTTTTTCTTTTATAACGTTTATCGATCGACTAAACTTTTCCAAATTACTTGCAATAAAGCAACTTACTTGAATCAATGAATTAAGTCAAGCAAGGATACCACCAATCAATGGTCTAATAACTGTTCGATTATCAAAATCGAATCAAACTAAATCCATGAACTTATGATTTTACGCAGTGAATTATTATTCAGTTCCATAGAAAGACAATTTTGTTCCCGTTTGCTATGTGTGAACATAAATGAAGATAAGATTCAGATTAAAAAATGAATGAAGATGAAAGTTTAGAATCCATCATCTTCACTTTTTAATTTTAAAAGTAAGTAATTTCACAAGTTATCAAATTCGTTCAAAGATAGGGGTAGTTCAAAAACATTGACTAAAGAGTTTGGAATTTAATGTCATTTTCTTTGTTTGTAATTTCTCTACTGTTTTTCTTTTCCTGTTTTGTATTTTTTCCCTCGCATCGTCTTGATGTTGGGTGTCTTAATATATTTTGTTGGTTTCAAAAAATATGTCTCGATTTTCAATAAATTTTAAGTAGTAGACGATTTGATTTGAAACTAAACTTAGATGAATAAAAACGATTTACAACATATGTATTCCCAACCTTATTAATCGACAAAAATTACGGCATAATCATGCTGTCATCAATTGTATTAATACCGTGTCATATGTGTATAAGATAACCTTCAATTTGTAGTGTATATAGTTTTAAGTTTTAACGAAG